CTAATTTACCTTTATAAAAGACCACTGGAGGGGCCTCCCTGGTGTGCAAGGGGTTAAATCTCAGCACTATGAAGTTTCAGCAACCACTAAAGCATGAGTTCAATCCACAAACAGGGCGCGAACCCACATGGCGTAGCAGACCTTTCCTGTCTCACCCACTGCTCCCCTGTTCTGCTCCCCACTCTGTCTCTGATGAATCCTCTTACCACCACTCCCCACCACCTCTGGCACCTCTGGCCTACACCCCAGCTCTTGTATGTGTAAATAAATCTTAAAAAAAAAAAAAAAAAAGACCACTGAATGCGTCATGGAGAGGCCGAGTTGGAGTAAGGAGCAGTTGAGAGAGGCAGAGTAAGGGCAAGGAAGTTGTGGGGGAATATACTAATCCAAACAACAGGTGACTAGCATGGAAGCAGATGAGATGGAGAGAAATGGATGAATTTGGGAAGTTTCTTCATATAGAACAGGAAGACTTACCAATGCATTGAATCAACTATTGTATGACATAGTCAATGGTCAGTAAAACAGGGAGCTACAAGAGAAGAAAGTTCAGCATATGCTGTAGAGGTTAAGGAAAATTCTGCTGGAGGTAGAATGAGAGCTGGGCAGTAAGATGAGCTTGCTACAGTTAATAAGTGAAACTAGGGCCTCCCTGGTCATGCAAGGGGTTAAGATGCAGCACTGTGAAGCTAGCCCCAGCCACTGCAGCACGAGTTCATTCCCCAGCCAGGGACGTGACCCACATGGCGCAGCAGACCTCTCCTGGTCACCTGCTGCTCCCCTCAGCAGTGTATTTCAGTCAATCTGCCTGTTCTGTTCCCCACTCTGTCTCTGATGGATCCTCTCACCCCCCCCCCTGCATCTCTGGCCTGCACCCCAGCTCTTTAATGCATAAATAAATAAATCTTTTGGGGGAAAAAGTGAAATTGTAGGTGTCCAATTGCAAACAATGAGATGAGAATAACTGTGTGTCTGGGGGCTCATGTGGAACTACTGGCCAGCTTGGTGCAGGTGTTGGCTATTGCAGGACAATGGAGTAGAGTGAGATGGGATGGGACTGGATTGGGGAAGATCTGGAAAGTCCAGAAGAGTGAATTCCATGCCTACCCCTACCCCACCCCCAGGACAGCTGAACCATAGACTTCCCAGCAAGCAGACAGGGTAAGAGAGGCAGAGCAAGAGCCCTTTCACCACGATCTGGGCTGAAACCCAGGCACCTATCTTGCTGCCTCCCAAATATTAACGTGACCTGTGAGTGCCCCCGACAGGCATGGCAATACTCAGTACTCCATAAATGCCTCACTTACGGGCCTCCCTGGTGGTGCAGGTGGTTGAGTGCAGCGCTGTGAAGTTGTCCACAGCCTCTGCAGTGCCGGTTCGATCCCAGCCGGCCACAGAGATACCCACATGGCATGGCAGACCTCTCCTGTCTCGCCCTCTGCTCCCTCAGCAGTGTATTTCGGCCGGTCTGCCTGTTCTGTTCCCCATTCTGTCTCGGGTGAATCCTCTCACCCTCCCGCACATCTGGCCTGTACCCCGCTTCTTGAATAAAAATAAATAAATCAAAAAAATGCCTCGGGCCTCTCCTGGTGGTGCAGCGGTTGAGCACTGGGTTGTGAGGCTGCCCACAGCCTCTGCAGCGCCGGTTCGATCCCCGGCCACCGGCGAGGGTCCCACAAAAAAAAAAAAAAAAAAAAGCCTCACTTACAAAGCAAATTACTCCAAAAACTCTGAGTTGGAGGCATCAATCTATCTCTCGATAGACTATCTTTGCTGAATGTAGTGGGTTTTGGCCCGTACCAGATGGAAAACAACCACCCCCACCCCCCCGCAAGCCATTGATGCCTAGAGCCCTGCCTCTTGCCTGGCAGCTTAGTGTTTCCTGAAGTCATCAAAGAAGGGGTATGTCCCACACTCCATAAGAGCCCCTTACCCCAGGAGAGGAGCCTGGATTCTTTATTTATTTTTTCTTTGTTTTAAAGATTTATCTATCTATCTATGCACACAAGAGCTGGGGTACAGGCCAGAGATGCAGGCGGTAAGAGGATCCACCAGAGACAGAGTAGGGAACAGAACAGGCAGACTGACTGAAATACACTGCTGAGGGGAGCAGCAGGCAAGACAGGAGAGGTCTACTGTGCCATGTGGGTAGCTTCCTGGCCAGCCGGGGACTGAACTCATGCTGCAGAGGCTGGGACTGCTTCATAGAGTGGTGCTCAACCCCTTGCGCCACCAGGGAGGCCCGAGCCTGGATTTTTCAAATGCCAGACTCCAGCAGGCTAGATCCCAGGCCATGCCCTCTCTGCGACTGTACCAGAGACTTCCTTGCCACACTGTTCCAGCTCTACTGAGCCCCACAAAGCTTGTCCCCCGGCAGCTGACACAGCGAGTTTACAACACATTTTCTGAACAAATGAATAAAAGGCTATGAAGTGGATTTTGGAGAAGGGATGCAAAAAACTACGCAACGCCTCAACAGCTCCCCTGGAGGTGGCTCCTGCCTCCACGGAAACAACTGTTGCCTTTTGCTCTGCCGTGCACATTTCCCACTCTACCTCATATAAACATTCACAGCAACAGCGACCCTCGAGCAGTCTCACCCGCATCTGACCGATGAGGAAGCCGAAGCTTGGACAAGTCAAGGTCTCACTGTGAGCCAGAGCCAGGACTCCCACCCTTGGGTGTCTGACACCAAACCCTTGTCCCTTCAGATCACCGTTCTAGAGTGAGTCCGTGGGTGAAGGTACTGAAGTCACCCCACTGCCACTCTGGGGGGCAATGAGCAGCTCTCTGGCTTGTTCTCCCCCCTTCGCAGGAAGCTGCTTATCAGAGTCACAGCCCTCCTGGCCCCACAGAAGAGCACCAGGCGCTGAGGAAGCAGAACTGGGCTTGGCCGGGCCTTCTCTGAGGACAAGGACACAGAGACAGGGAAGACGCCTTGTGCTCTTGTGCTCGTTCCCTCCCCAAGGGGAAACCGGGATGTGGCCTGTGACCTCGGTGGCAGCGTGAAGTGCTGGGACGAACACAGGAGCTGGAAAGATGTGAGATGGAAAGATGGATGACTCGCGCCAAGCTCCGTGACTGCGAACAAGCCAGGCCGCCTCTCCGCGCCTCCGTTCCTCTGGCTGGACGGCTGAGCGCCACCTTCCGCACGGCCTGTCCCTGTCGCGGGCCTGGGATGAGCTGGCCTGTTCAGGGAACTCGCTTCCACAGCTCCCGCCCCGCCCCCGGTGCTCAGGCACCAGGACTCCCCTGCCAGGACTCCCCTTTCGCCTCGCCAAGGGCCAAGGCCAGCGGCGCCTGTCAGGTGAGGAAATGCACCTGCCAAGAGACTGCGAGCTCGGCAACCAGGGGGCCCCTCTTAACTCAAAATAAGGCTCTTTCTACTGCTTTTTTTTTTTTTTTAAAGCAAACAAACTGGCTTCTCAACAGCAAAAAACAGGTCATTCTCCCCCAAACTGATGGTTTTCCCTTGAATATGGCGCTATCTGGGGCTTCTTCCTCTTCCCCTTGCTCCCCTTCCCCAAATTCTTCTCTCACCCGTCTCTGTGCACACAAATCAGACTGTTCATCATAAAGCAACAGAAAGGACCGTGGGCAGAACGGGAGGCAAACACAGCTCTCTCCGTAAGCAAGACAAGCCCTCACTGTTGGTACAGGCTCGTGAGTCACTCAAGGCCTTTTATGAGGGCCAGGTGCTCAGCAGGTCTAAATTGCTGCGAATTGCTTCTTCGGTATGTGCTGCTGGTGGGGAGGGCAGCAGCCATCTATGTGTATGTATGCTTTTACCAGGAAATGTGTTTATATTGTTTTCCAATCAGGATTTATCACAAGCCAGGAGCTCCCCACCTAATGAACAGACTAAACCCTGCCCATTGTCAACAGAGAAAAGCCCATCGCAAACATAAAAGATTTTTAAATCAAAATGGATGTTAGAGGAGCAGGATTCCTGGTGCCGGTTAGCAGCCAGCATTGTCTTTAATAGTTGAACGAGCAGAGGTGGTTGTTTCCGGTCTCACACTTCATCTAGAAGCCTTAGGAGCGCGGTAAGGGAGGCTTCCAAGGCAGGAAAGGATCTCTGTTTTGGCCTCCAACTGCTCTGCAGGAGGTCTTTGGAAATTCCTGGTGTGGCTTCTGCCCACCCGGAACAATGTAACCCTGAAGACATGTAAGGACTCCCCATGCCCGGATGGTACCTCTTATAGACTAGGTCTTGTCATTTGTTCTCTTGCATTCTCAACTCCACATTGTTCTAGGCCTCTTCTCCAAATGCCAGCTGCTCCTCTTCCCTGAAAAGCTCTGTGCCCACTGGACTCCTTATTCCATGGAAAATCAATCCCTTTCATCATTTACCTCCTCACAGAAGACTCTCTCCTCTTGTACCCTGAGACCAGTCACCCACCACAGGCACCCCTGTAGCCGTGCTCAGAGGTGACTTCTGTTCCCCAGTGACCCGCTTGTGTATCTCCCTGGGTGATCGTGTAAAGCCAGAAGGCTGCGTTAGGGTCCTTACACTCCACGTACCTCAGGACCATGATTCTCCTCCAGTGTCACTACCTTGGGGCTCACACCGTCGGTTACACTGGCTTCCCTGTCATTCTCTGTCCCCAGCTCCTACCACCATTTTGTTTCGTGTCTCTTCTCTGTGCCCGCTGCTGCAGGTGGAAGACCCTCCCCTGCCATGCTTACTTTTCGTACATTTCACAGATCAGACCCCTTTCCACATCTATCACCCACTGGCACTGCCAGATATGCCACTGACACAGCCTCGCAGTCCTCGGCTGTGCTTCTGTTTTTACGCCTTGCTGAGCCCACTAATCCCCTGAAGGCCGTTTCTGCCGATCCATTATCCCCCAACAAGCCTTCTCTCCTGTTCAACCAAACTTAAACCGTTCTCTCGCCCACAGCCTCCATCCATGCCTGGCACTGTAATCCTCTGCCCCACTCAACCCTCCGCACCATGTCCTGCTTGCTGAGAACCACAGAAGAAACACACATACCCCTTCCTCCTGACCAGAGACTGCTGGCTGCCAATCCCAATATGGGTTATCATCATCTTAGAATCTTGATTTAGAATAAACATCTTCACAATCTTTTTTAGAATTTTGATCTTGAATATAAATATTTCCCAGCATCCCTTGGCACTAGACACAGGCACACAATTCAGTTCTGGTTGATAGGATGAGCAGAATTATAATGTGGCAACTTCAGAAAATTTCTTTAAGATATACCTGGGATACAGCCTTTGTCTCTTTTCCTTCAGTCTCCTGCTTGGAATGCAGATGTGAGCCTGGAATTCATCTTGGACTGCAATGATGACGGCCAATCTGAAGGACAGAAGAATGCAAAGTAAGCGGTTTGGGTTCCTGAGACAGTAGAATCTGAACTAGACTTCTTTTATAAGAGCAAAATAAATGTTATTCTTTTTAATCCTATGTTCTAGGTCTGTTACTTACAGCTGCTCACACTGAAAGTGACTCCTAATAACAGTATCCTAAACACACAATCAGTTCTTTTCGTCCTTTATTAGCTTCTTTTCCTGATACCCAGCCCTATGCCCACAGACCCCAACATATACACTGCCTATCCCTCCCCCCGACTCTCACCAAGTGACCTACATTCTCTAGTTACACAAGATAAACATTTAAGACTTCGTAACTTTATTCTATTGGCCATCAATAGCAAAAGAATTGTGATCAAGGGGCATCTAAGGCCCCAAAGTGTTAAGGGAGGGCATGCTCAGAAAGGGATTTGGCCATCGGTGCACAAAAAGGCAAAGGAAGAAGACTCGTGGTGTGAAAGCTCTTTAGCAGAATTCTATGCATAGAGAGAGAAAAGAAAAAAAGATATTCCTAATAAAACTCTGAAAATTACACATCCCTTCATGGGCAAATCCCTAACCAAACAGGGTCAGCCTGAAGTGGTGCCTCTAAGGCCCAAAAGCTTGCCACAACTCTAAGGTACCTTCTGGCAGGGAACCATTAGAAAGGGATAAGGCAAAACTGTCACAAAAGAGGCAAAATCAAAGTACAAATCAAGATAATGGCTGCCACTGTCTACTGATGCCTTCCCATGTCTCCGAGTTCACCCAAGTCTCTGGGTACAAGTGAAAGCTGGAGAAGTAAGAGCGCCTGAGCCCGCATGTGCTCAGGGACATCCCAAGCACGGCTGCTGAACTCCACCCTGGTTTCAGTAGCTCCCTGATCAGGAATCCCAGTTTTTATGGCATCCTGGGACTTGACTCCAGCTTAATGTAAGTGGGGGCAGGGAAAATGGCACCTGTTCTTCATGGAGGTGTCTGTAACAATAGTTCCAATAAGAATCCAAACATATTTTTATTTCTTGTTTATGTGCTTTTGATTTATTTTTATTTTGGATCTTCTGAATCAAGTGTCTCTTTTTACACATATTTTAATATTTCTACACAGTCTATGTTTTAACAAATATGTCTTCCAACAAATCTATTACTATGTTTTATTTGATAAATCATCAAATAATGTTTCAATGGAATCTTATAAATCTATCTTCAAATTCATGTGAAGAATGACTGAAAATAGCTAAGAAAATCATAAAAACAGTTAAAATGTCTTACCAGAACATATTATGTAAAGTCAAATAGAAAAATAGGTCAATAAAACAAAATAGAAAATCCACAATCAATAGCAGTATTTAAACAAAAGTTAACACATGATACACGTGGAAGTCCAATTTGGTGGGAAAAGAATGGACTGTATATTTTTTTTAAGATTTATTTGTTTATACATACAAGAACCAGGGTACAGGCCAGAGGTGGGGGCAGTGAGAGGATTCACCAGAGACAGAGCGGGGAACAGAACAGGCAGAGTGGTTGAAATACACTGCTGAGGGGAGCTGCGGGTGAGCCAGGAGAGGTCTGCTGCACCATGTGGGTAGCTCCCTGGCTGGGGATTGAACTGGTGCCACAGGGGCTGCGGCTAGCTTCATATGTTACGTCTTAACTCCTTGCACCACCAGGGAGGCCCTGGACTGTTTAATAAACGATACTGGTTCAACTGGCTATCCATGTAGAAGTGAAAATAGACCCCAAGCCTATACATGATACCAAAAAATAAATCCAACTGGATTAAAAATTATAAAAGCAAGAGTAAAACAATGAAAAATAGTTCAAGGGGCCTCCTAGGTGGCACAGCGGGTTGAGTGCAGCGCTGTGAAGCTGGCTGCAGCCTCTGCAGTGCGGGTTCGATTCCCGGCCGGCCAGGGAGATCCCCACATGGTGCAGCAGACCTCTCCTGCCTCTCCCGCTGCTCCCCTCAGCAAATTTTTGGTCGTCTGCCTGATCTGCTTTCCGCTCTGTCTCTGGTGAATTCTCTCACCCTTCCGTGCTCTGGCCTGTACCCCAGTTCTTGTGAAAAAGTAAATAAATCTTTAAAAAATTATATAGTTCAAGAAAATTTTGTAAACTATACTATAAACTGAAGATAGGGAGGCCTCCCTAACAAAGACTGGGAATTTAGAGGCACTAAAAACAATGAAAGATATATTTGACTATATAAATATTAAATATTTGTGCTATAAACAAAGGCCATAGAGAAATATGTGGGGAAATATTTGCAACACAGATTTAAATGTTAATTTATATTAAAAAGTAGGGAATAAGATCCAAGGAGCTTATTAAAATGATCCCAGGATGTGTGTCTGCACATGCACACATATGAAGATTATTTGGGGATCCTCCCCTCTTTCTTGCTAAAGGTTCTGGAAAAGTTGAAAGTAAACAAGAAGTAAATATGTGGGCCCAAATGTTCTATTTTTTTTTAAAGATTTATTTTATTCATACAAGTGCTGGGGTACAGGCCAGAGGCGCGGGAGGGTGAGAGGATTCACCAGAGACAGAGCAGGGAACAGAACAGGCAGACTGACAAAATACACTGCTGAGGGAAGCAGCAGGCGAGACAGGAGAGATCCACCGTGCCATGTGGGATTCTCGCTGGCTGGCCAGGATCGAACCCGTGCTGCAGAGGCTGCGAACAGCCTCACAGCGTGGCGCTCAACTGCCTGCGCCACCAAGGAGGCCCCCAAATGTTCTATTTTTAATGGTAGATGCCAAGTCTCAGAGCCTATATTCTCACTAGGTTGTTATCCCTTAGGCTGTCCCTCTGTTAGATTCCAGGCTTTTCATGTCCATGCTGTAGTACCGTCTCCTTCCTCATTCAAGTTCATAGAAAAGGAGATGCCTCTGGTATCAAAGTCTCCAGTTTCTCCAGAGTTCATTGAGCCCAATCTCTGAACTGATCACAGTGACAGGTAAAATGATTGGCTTAAACAATCAGACCCAAGCCTGGAGCCGGGTGGCGGGATGTCATACTAAGTAGGAGGCTATTTATGGGGGATGAGTGAATTTCCCAAACCGGGAGCCCAGGAACTTCCTGCAAAAGAGGAAAATGGAAGGACAGTGCTAACCAGTAGCCACCTACCCAGCCAAAGCGTGAGTTCCCCAGCACTGGAGAGCCAGGGGACAGGCAAAATGAAACCCGAAGAATGACAAGGAGCTAGCAGGAGAAAGGAGGGGTGGAAGGCATTCCAGGCAGAGCAAACAGCAGGTATAACGCTCTGGTGATAAGAGATAACAGATGCACAAAGAAACTGCGAGACTTTCAGTGGGCCTGGAGCACAGGGACTGGATAAAAAGGGTGGGCAGAGAGCAGACAAGCATTAGGAGCTCTTTGGTGATGGGGATAAAATTTGTATTTCCCATAAAATTTGTATTTGACTCAACACAGGCTTGAGTCAAACAGATCTGGCATTGGGTTAAATGGTTGTGGGCAACCTCTGAACTTCAGAGTTTTTTTTGACAATTTATAAAATACAACTATTTAATAGCTTTCTCCAAGTTGGTAGAGATTAAATGACAGGGTGGAAGTATGACCTTTGACATACAGATGGTCTGGATAAAAAAAATAGCAGTTATTAATCCTATCAATGCCTGATATCTCTGGCCTCAAACAATATGTAGGTAGCATCAATAAATATTTGTGGACTGAAGGACTAGTTTCCTCTATGAGTCAGCTTCACCAGTATCCAGAAGTCCTTTAGCAACCTGCCCCTATCCTGCAATGCTCTCCCAGTTATCAAAGTGCTCACAACTGCCCAAGAGCACCAAAAGCTCAGATATCAAAGAGCTGGGGTCCCAGATTAGTGGGCCTGAGAGGATTCTGCTCATAGGTGTGCTCTGGCTGGCAGATCCTGAAATGTCCTAGCAGGTAGGGTTGATCTGAATTGGGAAGGTTCAGGGGAGACTAGGGAAACAAACTCACAGTTACCTGAGGGCTATTTAGGAAAAGCTGGGCTGGTGAGATTTCCAAAATTCCTTGTGGTTGACCTCCTTGAGAGACCTGGGGGACTAAATCACTCCAGTGTAGATTTTAGAAACTTACATTCCTTTCATGGCATTCCTTTCACAGCGGGCCTTCCTGCTGGCCTAAGGGTTAAGTCTCAACACTATCACTGTGACAGCCTGAGTTCCATCCCTGGTCAGGGAGCTAACCCATGTGACACAGCAGGCCTCTCCTGTCTCACTCTCTGCTCCCCCCAGCAGTGTATTTCAGTAAATCCGCCTCCTCTGCTCCCCACTCTGTCTCTGGTGAGTCCTCTCACCCCCTGCACCTCTCCTCACCCTAGTTCCTCTATGTAAAAATAAATAAAATCTTAAAAAAAAAAAAAAAAGGCGCACAGTGTCTGCAGATCTGGATGCCAGGCCTATCACAAGTTACTGGACACTATACCACACCTATCTGACCACCAATATGCACAGTGCCCAAGGGCACCTGCTACTCAGCTCAGCTACTCGCTGTGTGAACCGAGGCAAGGTACCGTACATCCTGCTCGACTTCCACATCTGTGAAATGAGGATGGTATCACTGAGAGAACAAAACAAGGTAACGTATGCAAGGGTGCTGGTAGGAAGAACCACCCTAATATCAGTCCCTTTCCTTCATTGATGTCACCAGGCTCCTCTCCCCACTAATGGGTACTTTTTCTTGTTCTTCAGCCTCTGACTTAGCACCTATTCTT